AGAGAGAGAGAGAGAGAGAGACAGAGAGAGAGAGGGTACTTCCATCGATAGGATGAGCAAAATCGAATCAATCTACCGCTAGAACATGGAAATATACACCTTGTTTTTTTTGTTTTTTTCTTTGGTGTGTGTGTGTGAAAACTTAGCAACTGCCGGGGCATTTTGCAAAGTTGGGCAGCGTCTGGTAGGGGTGCATTGCAAAGATGGGATCCAACTCATGGCTGGGTGTTTCGCAAAATGTTTTGTCATCGTCCTTCGCCGCAGCGTAGCTGCTGCAGGTCCACTTGTACTGCTAAAGCGAGGCCACTGTGTGTACCATGCCATTAACGTGTCTCCTCGCTTATAACTGTAACCCCTTTACTGTTTCTGATTATGGAGACATTGTCCGCTGGATAGAAGAAGAGCACCGTGCTGTATGCCCAGAGGACGACAGTACTGCACCTGGCGTGAACATAGCAGTCCTGTCCTTGGCATTTATGGGGAGACGCCTAGAATTCCAGCCTGCCTCACAGCATTATATGCCAGGCATGGACCTGGATATTCGTGTGTACATCCTGCATCATCCAGGTCATTTCGGTGCTATTACCTTTGCAGATAACTCATGGACATTATGGGACAATGGTGCTAGGATGTATACGGCGGGAAATATTAAGTCTTTCTATCACCAAGCAGTACAATCCCGCTTGGTTTGGCTGGTCAATCAGGAACAGCATGTGCATGTGCACCTGCAAGCTCTACAGCCTCCGGAGAGCAATCCGGCTGAACCTTCCCCATCCCCTGTACCTGGCCAGGCAGTGTCCCTTCCCTGTGTAGTTCTGACGGATTCTACCACGGGTAGTGACGAGGCCTCTCCAGAGGATCGTAGCTGTGCCATGCCATTGTGTCGCCACACAGCTACAGTTCGGTGGGTAGCATGCACACAACATAGGCTCTGCTCCAAAGACTATGAAGGAATGGTTACTGCCAGCCTCTGCCGCAAAAACTGCGACCCATTGTCCTGTACTCATCCCCCCCACCCCCTTATTACTTGCCCGGCATGCCAATGTGGCCTTGACATGCCCATGCCTAAATAGCTGCGAACGTCAGCCTGCTTTCCTGCTGACATGTCAGCAACATGCCATGTGTCGTCAATGTTTCCAGGAAGCTGTCATAGAAAGTCTGCGCCTCTCCTGTGTGGACTATCCCCGATGCCATCACCCGCCACATCCTCTAGTACCATGTCCCACATGCAGTGTTCATTGTACACATGCAGCGTTCGTCATACACCTGCTGCAACCGTAGTCGGATCTCCTTCATCCTTGCCAGACGAACAACAGACACAGCCGCCTGAAGAGGAAAATAGATTACCATATGAACCACCAACAGAGCACTGTGTTGAAAGGTTATCACCACCAGGGTGAGCTGTTGCAGACCAAATTTTGCAACAGCTAAACACCCTTGCTTTGGAACAGTTCCCATTGTCGTCTACCCACGAAGAGGGAATGATGACTGAAACCCAAGATACCTGCTCAATGCCGTTCTGTGAGGATCCGCCTGACATGGCTAGCATGTGGCTCGCATGCTTTATGTCGTGAGGATTATGAGCGCATAGTCTTCAAGTTCCTGTTTTTACACGGTTGATCATGTACGGCACCCCGACATGCCATGTCCAATTTGTAGACGAGCTGGAATGGCAATACCTATAGAATTGCGGTCGGTGTGCCTCTGTGTTCCTATCATGTAGGAGACATGTAGCCTGTAATATATGTCTACGCCGTGCCATTCAATGCAGCAACTGTACCTGCGAGAATTGGATGTGGTGCTTCCACTCTCCACACCCTAGCCAGTCCTCTCCGGTCTGTAGGGGTGGCCACTTACGATAGGCAACGCTTGCTCCTTAACTCTAAATTTACTGCAACCCATACACTGACAAGCCTGTTGAGCTGTTCCAGAGTATTCCGCTCCAGCGGTGAGTATTAAGAACCCTGTGAAATTCATTACTACTCTGTTCTGTTCTTTGTCACCCCACTTCCCTCCTCTGCCCATTCTTCCTCCCCCACGCCTCGATTCCTTTAAAACACCTCCTTCCTTTTCATTTCTTTCCCTTCATTCCTCCCCCCCCCCTCGTGTATTATTAGCGCAATAAATCGCAGTATCCCAGTGGGACTGTACACTAACTGTGTTTGCTGTTTCCTTGGTTTGGGCCTTGCGGGACTCGATCCCGTGACCTATAATGTGTACGTTCGGTTTGTTAGCTTTGAGCCCAACTGGGCTTGATCCTTAGACCTGTAGCTAGTAGTCTCTATTTGGCAGTCTTAGACCCTTTGGCTTTGCTGTTTTGTCGTTTTCTGCAGTTGCTGAAGTCAACCCGGGACTTGATCCCATGACCTGTAGTGTGTTTGTGGTGATTGACTGTTTTTGAGCCTTATTGGGCATGAACCTTGAACATGTTGCTAGTAGTCTCTACTTCGTAGTCTTAGGCCTTTCAGCCTTGTTGTTTTGTTCTTTTCTGCCCTTCTGGAAACTGGTAGGCCCGTAGGTCTTTCTTTTGTGTCCTAGCCTTGGGTCCCCTTAGTCTAGGTTTCCATCTATATGCATGTAGGTAGATCTCGACTGTTTGGCCGTAGATGTTTGCTGTTTGGACGGTCAGATAGGTCTGTAGGTGGCTGCTGTGTTGTAGGTCTAGGGAAGTTGGGTAGGAGGAGGAGGTAGAGGCCGACGAGTTTGGGGTTCTTTTGGTTCTTTTCGTTGCTTTTGTTTTCACGGTCTTGATGGAGGTCGCCTTGCTTCCCTGCTGCGCTATTGTGGGCATGTATGCAGGGCATCTTCTCCACATGCCGCTGGCGGCCATAGCCAGGGCTGGCTAGCTCCATTGGTGACAGCGCTGGGCTTGGCGCCCAAGTGCTGATGAGCGCTTCCTCATATTTGTGTGCTTGTTGGGGTTTGGTCAGCTGCCACCGAAGCTGCACTTTCAGCGGTGCTTCTTCGACGTGGCAGATCTTCATCTTCATCGAGTTGCTGTTCTTTATCGTCATCCTGGGAGCTGCCCTCTGTTGAGCGGACACTTCATCTGCAGTGGGCTTCTTGAGTGGTGCGGAGAGGGGTGTTGGATTTAGGAGGGTGTGTGGCGATTGGCAGGGCTTGATAGGTTGGGTGCTTGCAAGCACCATAGCTAGAGCTTGAGGAAGAGGGAGGAAGAAGAAGACTCCTGGATACTTCGATGAAACCTTGTAAATAATTGGTCTGCGGGTGTTGATAACGTGGTTGGGATCTTTGGAAATTTGTGCTGTTGATTGACTTGGGGAGAAGCGGTAATTAGAATTGATTTTCATTTCAATTCTATTTTTGGAATTTGTGTGCTTCCGCTGCGTATTCTTATCATCCAATGTGGTGTGGATTGCTCCCTCCAAAGGTCACTTGTCATTGCACATGCGTATGGGAACGTGCGGATGCCATGTTGGATCTCGTTTCAATCAGGCACATAGCACTAGTATATACATACGAATGAGCATCACTAAGAGAACAGGAATATAAGCTGAACACCTGAAGAAAAACGAACAGGAGTATACCTCCCCCTTTACTCTGTCTCCTTTCATAATGTGCAAGTGTGCTGTTAAGGCACACGGGGGTGTGGGAAGCTGGTGCTCAAACCCATCATCAATGTGGCCAGCCTTGTATGTGAGAGGCACAGTAAGAGGGGAGCTGCAAGAACAAATGAAATGGGAGGCCTCCCAAAGATAGCTGAGGTAAGCACAATCAAGAAAATGATATAATGGATCTATTGTGTTTCATGTTGCTAACTGTTTCATGCTGGGTTGGCTCATCTCGAGTGTGTAACTTTGCGTGTATAATGGTGGATTGGCTCATCTTAAGCATGCTTCATCGTCTGCAATAGAGGTAAAGTTGCTGTGATTTTGGATCTACTCATCTGGGTGGAACAGGGGATGTTGTGGTGAAAATCCATAACACAGAGAGAGAGAGAGAGAGAGAGAGAGAGAGAGAGAGAGAGAGAGAGAGAGAGAGAGAGAGAGAGAGAGAGAGAGAGAGTGGTTTTGCTGTTATCTTAAAACTCAGGAAAAGAATAACAAAGTGAAAAGAGAACTCCCCCCATGCGCAGAATCACATATTTAAATGATATTTTACTATTTTTACTATTTTCTGAAATTCGAGAGAGAATTCTTTGGATGCACCGAAGGAGAGAGGTGCTGACAAGGTAATAGATGTGAAAGTATTCCTGAGGGAGCAGGCCAGTTGCTGACCAATTGCACTTATAGGCCACCACCCCCCTCATGCTGTTTGCTTTTGTTTGCAAAATTTCCATGTCTTTTGCGGGTGGAGCCACAGTAGGAAATCTAGTCCAAAAAACTCACAAATATTCTTCATGGTGTCTGTCACTGGCCATGGCAGCTGTTTACTTCTTGTATGATCTGTCGCCCATCACGGTTACCATTACAGAGACACGAAGGAACTTCTTCCATCTGATAACTCGCATCTGTGCTGTGATTGGTGGTGCATTTGCTGTTACAGGTGAGCCTTCTCTCTTCCTCCTCTCTCCTCTACCTAATCCCTCACGATATACAAGCTCTCAATTTCAAAGGGAGGTCGAACCAAGGAGGGTTCGACGGACAAAGGAGGGGGTGCTGAGGAGGAGCGGAGGGGAATGGTGGGGGCGGAATGGGGTTCGCGGAGGAGCGGAAGGG